CATTGGAAATACTACGTCTACCAATGAGCACAAAAGACAAGACTTAGATTAAAAGCTGGTTTAGGATTTTTGTAGTAAAAATGCTCAACGTTTTGCTACAGAACGCAAACTGCACATCTCAACAGTGTACTAAGCCAACCAAAATGCAACATAGCGGAATACACTTCCCATTACTCTCCCAAGAAAGCTGCATGCAAATTTCTGCTAAGCAAGTTTGGAAGACAGAGTTCAGCTAAACTTCAAGAAAGAACTGCAAGTCTATCACAATTTCTTTTATGTGGATGTGCAATGCACTCATCCCTAACACCAGACATCAAAGCTATTTTTATACTTCTATTAGCAAGAACACATACGTGGTCCCAATTTAAAAAACAGCTGTTAAAAGTCTTCATTTTTATGAATGTAATAGGTGTAGAAATTTCACTTGAAAATGAACATTACAATATAAAGCTTAATATTTGAAAGATGACAAAATAAGCTCGTTACAGGTTTTTTTCCTCTCTTCTAGGAAATTTATCTGACAAATACCTATAGACCGCTATGCCATGATCAGTATTAGCCATCAAATCCCAATATATTAGAAACTAGTAACTCTCAATCACAGTAACAGATGCAGCTTTTTTGCATTTAACTGATTTATGTCGTGCAGTGAAACAATTATATAAACATACTTTTATGACTTTTTTTTTAACATCAAAACGAGTAATGCTCAAAAGCACCACATTTGCTACATAATCCCAAAATAAAATATTCTGGAGTAAATATATTGAGATGGTAAAAATTCCAACAAACATTCTGACACCAGGAAAGTACAGTTAACATTTCAACTAAAACAACTGTAAACAAAGTGAAGTATGGAAGACAGCAGTTCAGAGTACAAACCAAAACATTCAGTAACCATGTGCTTATGATTAAAGGGACCTCGGTGAACTTTAAAGGCATCTTGTATAACTTTTTCACAAATGGCAACAACTACTAAGAAATGGCTACAGAAATCATAGTGCTCTAAATGGTAATTTCAATTTCTCAGCAAGTTTGGATTTCTAATGAAATTCTTTTGAGAAAGAAGGCAAATTTATCCAAGAACTACCTAGAAAATGTAGTAACTTTGAGACAGCCTACGTAGCGAAGGCTGTGAGCAGTAAGCACGTTTGTGAAGTGTGATTTGCAAAGCTAACTACCATCTGACAGGCTCCCTGTCAGCACATGTAAGCATTAGCTCATGCTACCTTCGAAGGAAGTAAATTACTTTGAAAAGCTTTGTCTAAACTGTGTCTAGTGGAGTTTGCTTCACATTCAGTGGAATAAACTATTTTTGTTTAATGTATATTAAGACTGATTCATTAATGAACCATTAAGACTGGTTCATAAATGCTAAACAGTTACATACAGTAAACATAGACTTTACAGTTACCTAGCTTTCCCATGTAGATAAAGTTTCAGCATAGAATAACATAAAGCTATTTCTGAGAGGTGACTGAATGTCTCAAATTTGTCTATGTAACTAACACGTCATCCTTATGCCTGCCAGCACATTCATACTCCATAGCCACTCCAAAGTACCTATATGCTCCAAAGCTTCATAAAAGAACCTTTACTCTTCTAAGTAAAGATAAAATTACAAGTATTGCTGCCAGCTTTAATGAAAAATTAAGCCAGTCACTGAAATACTTTTCCATTGTCATCATATATACTTTAAGTGTCGGCACTCGTAACATCGTCCGTGAAAAACTCCTACAATACTTTAAGATGCCTAAGGATTTCACTCTGGTGATAAAATTTGTTCAGTGCTGACACAGCACAGTGCATTATGAGCAACACTATATGCAGAGCTCTGCTATTGTGCTGCATGTCTAAATATAGGGCTTCTAAGTGGTGTGGCAGGAGGAAAGTCTCAAAAGGTTGCAGAATAATCACTAAGTCTTTGAAAAAAAAAATATTACTACTGTGGCAAATACATTTTTCCTTGATTCTGGGGAGTCTATGAAATTATTCTTTTTATTGTTAGAGCTTGTATCTAGTGGAAGAGTTGTATTTGAGAGACTCTGAAAATGTGCTTGCCTGGATATAAGCATCAAATCCCAGCACTCTTTTGGCTGGAGGTTCCTACCCTCTGACAGCTACACCAGTGTCACACTATTTAATTTTCTTTGTAAAGAGGGAGGAGTTTACCTGCCATTTTTGGTGATTTAACAACACTGAGATAAGAAATAAATAGCTAAGAAGCACATAGAATTGTCAAGACTTGAAGCCTGGTGTTTCTGCAACACTGCTTTTTAGTAAGGCAGACCTAAGACAAACATCTTTGCCAGAATTCACTGCTAAGAAGTATTATCTGAAACTTCTACAGCCTAGCCTTCCAAATGCCATACCATCCTGTACTGCTAGCAATGAAGACAACAGGGAAAACACCATGCAATTTGCACAATCACACTGCAATCATTGCCACATTCCCTACTGTCTGGCCTCACTTTTTGCCTTAATCCATTATGCATCCAATCTAAAATGAGTCAAGCTTACTGACTAAAGACAAAAATCAACAGTAACGCACCTGCTAATCAACTGGAATCTAAGATGAACCAAGACTTACACCTCTGAAGAGTCAAAGCTGTGACAGACTTAAAACTAGCTGAAAGACTGCATTTTTAAAACACAATCCACCACATGAACAGCTTCCACACTTGAGCTATAGGTACTGAAACCATCACTATCAAAAGAGCCATCTCTGGTATGGAACTGTAAGGACAAGCTGATATACCAGATGGCTGTGTGACCACTCAGAGCAACACCAACAGGAATCCCATGAATTTCAGCAAAGGGAACCCCATAAGAAAACAAATGTTTTTACTTCCGGTCTGACCAAACACTGAAACACCTTGTCCAGGGAGGTTGTGGAGTCTCCATCCTTGCAAGTATCCAAAACCTGGCTGGACATGGCCCTGAGCAACCTGGTCTAGTTGACTCTGCTGTGAGCTGGGAGGTTGAATCAGATGATCTCTAGAGGTCGCTTCCTGGACCTCCCACCTCAACCATTCTGTGATTATTTATCAGTTTTGCAATGAGAACACTGATTTGTAATGACAGAACAAATCTGCATGACTTATTTGTATCAAGGGGAAAAAAAGATTTTTAAGAGCTTAATACCAGTACGGAACATGATTGATTTATTTTTTTTTTAACATTTGTAATTTCCAACATCTATACTGCTGCTGCTGTGTCTTACCTAAGGAGAAGTGCTTGTATTGTACCAATAACTATGTCTATAAAAGACAACTGGTTAATGAGTAAAAGAAAAAAATAATCCAAAGAACTGATTTTCCTGTATCAAAGCTCCTTATCGAAATTAAACCCCATGAAAAGGATATATCTTTTGAAGCCATAAATTTATCTGTCATTTACTGGTATCAGGGTCCCTACTGCAGAAGTCTTTCTTCTATAGGAAAACAATCATATAAATGCTAGAAATAAAAACATACTGATGCCGCCATTAGATGCAATGGTCAAAAACTTTTTACAATTTTAAAATAACTTTTCAACTACATTCTCTATAGTAGGCTAGAGTTTCATGAAACAAATCTCAAGGTTTTGAGAAAGAAATGAGTGTAAAAACTGATGCTATAAAATATTTCAATATTCCAAGTATTTTAAGTCTCTCACTTATGGTTTTAAAAGTCTGATTTGTTATGCTTCTTTCAACTTAAAACCATTTTTATTTAATAAGAGAGGGACCTACTCCTGGCCATCTGGTAACATATATATAGGATGCAAATTATCTGGAACAAGACATGATTCCACAACTTTTTACTTCCATTTTCCCATCACTGAAACTATTTTTCCCATAGAAGTCTGTGTTGACAAGCATCTGAAACAGAAGTGGACCTTGAAAAAGTATGATGCGTAGGAGGAAGGAAACAAACATATGGAGAAGGAAGCATGAATAACAAGATGACACATGGCTTGGAAAAGGGTCTAGGGTTATCCAGTAAAGATGACCATGGATAACAGAGCAAGAAGGGACTGGGAATCCAGCATAGAGGAAAGTGAATATTTGGACCGGCTTATTGGTCCAAATATTGGTCCAGAATATTGGAGAAGAAAGGGACTGGCTGCAAATGCATCACACTTTCCTGATACGTCCACACCACCTTTTCCTCCAGTTATCCAGGAGAACCTAGCAATCTCCATCATCCTAAACAAAAGACAACTTCACTTGAAAATGTCCCTGTTTTACGTCAGGCAGCTGA